TTAGAAAGGTTTCAGACTGTGGTTGAAGTCCATAATTTGTTTTCATTCATTTACATCTTATATATTTACTTATGGTATTCAGTCTGTCATCTGTTTTATTCCAGGGGCTTTCCTTTAGGTGAACATAGACACAGTGATGGTGCCCTAATGTAGTACACAGCATTATCTCATTATAGTACCAGTACTATGAGGAGGGAAGCTGAAAACAACGGGCCTTAAAGCAGTTACATATAAATCCAACTGAAATGACAATAAACACAAAAAAATATGTTTAAACTCTCCATTGTCATGTCATTTTCTTCTCTTTTCAAGGGTGTATAAGGTCTAAATTTTGTAGATTGCAATCTATAATAAAAAAAGTTTGTTTTTGCTTTTCTTTTATTAAGGGCAAGCAAAAATGACCACATAGTTCACTTTAGTTTGTTACTTTTAAAATGTAATAACTAGTTTCTTCCATATCAGCACAGTACCAAGCCCTTTCAATATTGGACATGTATGGGTACATTTAGAGGGCTAATTGTCCATTTCCACTGCAGTGTGTTTCAAATAGGTTTCCAATACGTTTTCTCTTTCATTTTTCTCGATGTCAAAGGCTAACCAGTAATGTACTGTATAAAGAATGGAAATTGAGTTTTTTTTTTTTTTTCTATACTGCTGGCGTACAGTATATATCATTGTATCCAAGAGAAAAGTAAAAGATGAAACATAATATCTTACTAAGTATAAATATATCTCTGATCTCATACATACAAGCTTACTCTATTCAGCTGTATGGACTGTTCTGAAGCCAAAATCAATTATACAGTTTTAAAAGTCTTCAGAATGACATTTTTTTTTGTTTGGCAGTAAGAAAAAGTGAGATGTCGTAAAACATTAGATCTCGAATAAGCACTTTGGTAGTGTTACAGTTTCAAAGATGAATGCAAACAGGATTTATAACAGCACACAAAAGCTTTAATCTTTTTAGTACACACTCCAATATTTTACATGTAAATTGCCTCAGGATACTTCCTGTTACATGGCTCACATTTTCATTCTGGCATTCATCTTGTGCACATAACTCGCTATCTAAATCCATGTAGATATCCTCATTAGAATGGCTGTGCAGGTCAATGTGTTCCATAGTAACAACACTGACCTCTCTATGAGCCTAGAGCAGCCCTTTAATTGGATTTTCTTACTTTGAAAAAGTTGTAATGTTTCTTGCATTGGCAGTTCATTCATTGAATTTGCTGTTACTTTTTGTTGTAACTAGTAAAATAAAACTTAATAAAATAGCACTAACAATGATTTTATGCAATAACCAAAAATCAAATGGAAGGCACCTAAATACAACCATTTATTAATGATACAAATTTTTGTTTTGAGCTATGGAAATCAATGCTTATTGGATTGTTTTTAAACCATTTCCCAACCGTGCTATAGCCAAAAGATGGCTACAGCATGATCGGCTAGTTTTGGGAGGACGTCCATGAACATCCTCCCAGAACCACACCCCCCGCTGTGCATGATCTGTGATCGCTGTGTCCTTTGGACAAAGCTGATCATCTGACCAAGTAGAGGGCCAATCAGAACCGCTTGTATATGCGACCAATCACAGCTGATCACATGTGTACAGGAAATGCCGGTTATCGGCAGTCCTTTCCTCACGCTGACAGCATGTGAGGAAAGGAGTGCCGGCAAGCGGCATTTCTTAGGGGGATTTCTATACTGATCATCAGTGCCCTGATGTTCAATTTAGCCCCATCAGTGTGGCCAATAGTGGCCAATAGTGCCCATATGTGCTGGCTTTCAGTACCCATCTGTGCTGGTTTTCAGTGCCCATCTGTGCTGGCATTTAGCGCCCATCTGTGCTGGTTTTCAGTGCCCATCTGTGCTGGCTTTTAGTGCCCATCTGTGCTGGTTTTCAGTGCCCATCTGTGCTGGTTTTCAGTGCTGGCTATCAGCACTGGTGATCAGTGCCTCCTAAGTGATGCCTGTCAGTGCCCATCAGCGATGGCTGTCAGTGCCCATCAGTGCTACCTATCAGTGCCCATCAGTTCTGCCTATCAGTACCCTTCAGTGACACCTATCAATGCCCATCAGTGCTGCATATCAGTTCATCCTTATCAGTGCCGCCTATCAGTGCCGCCTATCAATGCCCATCCGTGCAGCATATCAGTGCCCATCAGTGCCGCATATCAGTGCCTCCTCATCAGTGCCCATCAGTGCAGCCTATCAGTGCCCATCAGTACAGCCTGTCAGTGCCCATCAGTTCAACCTCATCAGCGAACATCAGTGAAGGAAAATAAATCACTTATTTACAAAACTTTTAACAGAAACTAAGAAAAACTTTTTGGTCTTTTTTGTTTGTTTAGAAAAAAATAAAACCCCATGTGGTGATTAAATAACACTAAAAGAAAGCTATATTTGTGTCAAAAAATGATAAAAACTTCATTTGGGTACAGTGCTGCATGACCGTGCTAATGTAATTCAAAGCTCAAAATTGGCCTGGGCAGGAAGGGGGTGAAAGTGCCCGGTAGGCAAGTGGTTAAATAACATGATAAGGACGTTAAAGGTCAATTCATATCTTTTGAGCTGAATTTTCTCCTATCCCATTAGTATACAGTCATGGCCGAAATTGTTGGCACCCTTGATATTTTTCCTGAAAATCAAGTATTTCACACAAAAAAGGTATTGCATTAACACATGTTTTGCTATACACATGTTTATTCCCTTTGTATGTATTGGAACAAATATAAAACAGAGGCAGAAAAGCAAATATGACATAATGTCACACAAAACCCCAAAAATGGGCTGGACAAAAGTATTGGCACCCTTAACTTAATATTTGGTTGCACACCCTTTGGAAAACATAACTGAAATCAGTCGCTTCCTATAACCATCAATAAGCTTCTGACACCTCTCACCCGGAATTTTGGACCACTCTTCCTTTGCAAACAGCTCCAGGTCTCTCTTATTGGAAGGACACCTTTTCCCAACAGCAATTTTAAGATCTCTCCACAGGTGTTCAATGGGATTTAGATCTGGGCTCATTGCTGGCCACTTCAGAACTCTCCAGCGCTTCTTTGCCATCCATTTCTGAGTGCTTTTTGACGTATGTTTGGGGTCATTGTCCTGCTGGAAGACCCAGGATCTTGGACGCAAACCCAGCTTTCTGACACTGGGCCCTACAGTGCGACCCAAAATCCTTTGGTAATCCTCAGATTTCATGATGCCTTGCACACAGTCAAGGCACCCAGTGCCAGAGGCAGCAAAACAACCCCAAAACATCATTGAACCTCCACCATATTTTACCGTAGGTACTGTGTTTTGTTCTTTGTAGGCCTCATTCCGTTTTCGGTAAACAGTAGAATGATGTGCTTTACCGAAAAGCTCTATCTTGGTCTCATCTGTCCACAAGACGTTTTCCCAGAAGGCTTTTGGCTTACTCAAGTACATTTTGGCAAACTGTAGTCTTGCTTTTTTATGTCTCTGTGTCAGCAGTGGGGTCCTCCTGGGTCTCCTGCCATAGCGTTTCATTTCATTTAAATGTCGACGGATAGTTCGCGCTGACACTGATGCTCCCTGAGCCTGCAGGACAGCTTGAATGTCTTTGGAACATGTTTGGGGCTGCTTATCCACCATCCGGACTATTCTGCGTTGCAATCTTTCATCAATTTTCCTCATCCGTCCACGACCAGGGAGATTAGCTACAGTGCCATGGGTTGCAAACTTCTTGATAATGTTGCGCACTGTGGACAAAGGCAAATCTAGTTCTCTGGAGATGGACTTGTAACCTTGAGATTGTTGATATTTTGCCACAATTTTGGTTCTCAGGTCCTCAGACAGTTCTCGTCTCCTCTTTCTGTTGTCCATGCTTAGTGTGGCACAGACAGACACACAATGCAAAGGTTAAGTGAACGTCTCTCCTTTTTATCTGCTTTCAGGTGTGATTTCTATATTGCCCACACCTGTTACTTGCCCCAGGTGAGTTTACAGGAGCATCACATGCTTGTAACATTCTTATTTATCCGCAGTTGTGAAAGGGTGCCAATACTTTTGTCCAGCCCATTTTTGGAGGTTTGTGTGACATTATGTCGAATTTGCTTTCTTTCCTCCCTTTTTTTGTTTTGTCCCAATACACACAAAGGGAAATAAACATGTGTATAGCAAAACATGTGTTAATGCAATACGTTTCGTGAGAAATACATGATTTCCTGGAGAAATATCAAGGGTGCCAACAATTTCGGCCATGACTGTATATCCCTATATTGGTAGTGATCTTTATAGACAGCTTCAGTAGCAAATGCCACTCCTTTATAACAGTTGGCCTTAATTATTTTTCATTAGAGGGTCCCTTACAGGGCTTATCAACTAGCAGCGTGCATTAACACCGTAGGAGATTCTTTTGCATCCTGTGAGGCTTCCCTGATTCTCATTTAAAGCCGTCACTAATCTCACCACTCCTGCTGGCAATAGTTGGCTGTCATCTTGACAGCTAGGACTTGCTGTGCAGTGGGTATAGATACTGCAGCAACTGCAGCTGCTGCTTTGTGTGGAAATGCTTTTAAACTGTGCTTGTAATATTGTTCAGAAAATTCATTTAGAAATACCACATAACAACATTAATGGGGATTAAAGGGGTAACATTTAATCTGAATAAGATGTCAGTTAAAGCAACCCTTTGAATGAACTGCCTACTGCACCAAAAATGTGCTTACACAATTTTTCAAATGCAGCATACTACAAAGCACATTATTATTATTATTATTATTATTATACAGGATTTATACAGCTCCAACAGTTTGCTCAGCACTTTACAATATAGACACATTAGTGTGTTACTGAGTGTTGTGGTTTGGTGCAACACAGGTGAATTAGTAAGGTGTGATGGTGTGCCATGCATGAATAATGAAGGGTACTGTGGTGCACCAATGCATATCAGTGGTGTCACTAGGGCCCCTCCACGCCCGGGGCTCTCTCCTACCTAGCCTGCCACAGTGCCCTGCACTGTAGATGCTCAGAGACTGCAGGTTTACTACGGGAGATAAAGAGACTGCAGACCTACTACAGGAGATGATCAAAAACTATAGACATACTACAGGTGATGTTCAGAGACTACAGACCTACTACAGGAGAAGATCAGAGACTACAGACATACTACAGGGGATGGTCAGAGACTACAGACATACTACAGGAGATGGTCAGAGACTGCAGACATACTACAGGGGATGGTCAGAGACTGCAGATATACTACAGGGGATGGTCAGAGACTACAGATATACTACAGGAGATGGTCAGAGACTGCAGACATACTACAGGAGGTGGTCAGAGACTGCAGACATACTACAGGGGATGGTCAGAGACTACAGATACACTACAGGAGATGGTCAGAGACTGCAGACATACTGCAGATGATGGTCAGAGACAGTGAACATAGTACAAGAAAAGATCATAGACTTCAAATATTCTGCAGTGGCACTCAGTGTATAGAGATCAGGGCTGTTAAAGAGGGATTAGCACCTGGTGTATGAGCACTGAGCAGGAACACTCAGTCTGGTTGGTATAGATTTAAACAGAGTGAAACACTAAGCTGCTGGGCTGGTGATCACTGTCACTGACCTGCTATATGCAATGGAGGTTACTCCGAGTTCACAGTGCACTCTGCCTGCCACTTCCAGATCTCTTAAGCACTGAGTTAGACCTGCTGTTCCCTAAGGCCCGGGATGTGGACTGTGGCCCTGCCCCTCCACTGAAGTCCCCGAGAAGAGAAATGTCCAAAGCGGATGCCAGCCCTCATCCCCATGGGTCCACTATCCCTCTCTAATCCTGGCCAGAGTCCTCTCAAAGAGCTGCATCAATTGCTGGCAGGGATGTCATGGTTGCTGCCTCCTCCTGGCTTAACTCCCCCCCCTAGATGGCAGCCCTGGTGCTGTCACCCCTCTGATGGGTGTCACCCAGGTACAGTCCGCACCCCCATAGCGACGCCACTGATGCATATAAAGCACATATTTAAGTTTTAATGCAGAACAAAAGTTTGAACATATCCTCACTGTTTATAAGGTTTCATCAATGAGAAAACTACTCAAAAAAGTAAATTTGAAACACAAAGAACTGACTGGGTTGATGCTGCAAGGCATTGCATTCCTAGGAAATATGGTATTATGTCCTGTTCGAAATTTGAACTGCCACTTAACTACTTGGTCATGCAACACTGTAACCAAATGAATTTTATGTTTTTTTGAGACATAGAAATTGGTTGTCGGTATATACAGGTAATCACCTTTAGGTTTTTATTTTTTACTATATAAAGGAAAAAAAGACTGAACATTTTGAAAAAAGCTGTTTTTTCTTGCTGTTATGTGTTATAAAATATATCAAATAAACAATGCTTCTTCATTTTCTTCATACATTTAAACCAAAATGTACAGTATTCTGCTACATTTCTTTGGTTAAAAAAGCCAAAACATTCCAAATAAGTGTAAAATTATTATTCTGCGTGAAAGTTATAGAGTTAGCAAGCTATGGTATATATATATATATATATATATATATATGTGTGTGTGTGTGTCTGAAATATATCATCCCTTCTATTCTGACTGCCCATTGCATTTCTTGAGGCCCAAAAATGCCTGGACAGTACAAGCACTTTGAAAATGTGTAACCTGTGGTCCTCTCACACCATTTGTACAACTTCACCCAATACCTTGGCAAGTTTACTTTTTGTTCTTACAGTAAGTTTGCCTGTAAAATGTATGAGGGAATCATCAATACAGATATTTTTCTGGGGGTATACACTTTCTAAAGTTTTTGGGAAAGGAAATTGAGGAACATCCTAATTGTGTGGAGCCTGTCATATGCAGGGTCACTGCTGGGAGGGCACAGATAATTGTCAACTTAATTGTATACATTTCATTATCGTTTGATATTGTTTCCTGGATATGACAGAAGAATGTAACATCATGGGGTGGATTGAGTGAGTGGACAAATATCATTTCAGTTCAGGTTTTAAAGTCTGGAGCCATGATTGGCCCCCCACTCAAATGGTTTGGCATAAAAGGAATAGGGGTTTCTGGTAATGAATTATTGGGCATAAATGTTAGTTTGTTACACAATTCAATTGAATAGTTGTTCAGTGAAAAACAACTACAGAAATTTAATTGGTGTAAAATTTTCACCTTAATACTTGGGGGTGCCAGGCACTACTAAATTGAAAGGTAGCAACAGAAGATTTAAAATAGTCTCTGGGGCATTAGTATGGATTTTCTACAGCTCCATTCCCCCCATTCTTCATGGGTGCTGTTGCAAAACCCCACTGATAGTGCTTGCTACTTCACCTTCACCATGATGTACTGTACTGCTAGTGCTTACTGCTTCATTTCACTTGAATGATCAATAGCGGGTGACATTGTACTCTTTTAGCAGGGACATCTTCTTCCTGTGTATCAGGGGTGGCCATTAATAAACTGCTGCCATCTATCTATTCCAAATCTGAATATGTGAGGTCTGGTAATTAGGACACTGGTACTAGTGCTGGCTGGTGAATAAGACACTGGTGCTTGCTGACACTGGTATTTTAGCAATATATTTGTGCTGGCTAGTGATCAGAATACTGGTTGTGCCTCGCTCTAGTGTTAAAACATGGTACAGGTTCTGAAAAACATAGGGACCTAGCTAGAAAAAGCTAATGGGGTTTTAAAAGGCACCACACCAAAATGAATATATAATACTCAAAATATAAAAGATTTTGTTGAGTAGGGGTGTAGTTTGGATGCTTTGGGACATATTGAATATTTAGACGCCTTGATTTATTTTATCAGCTTTAAATACAGATATGCGGTTTTGTCCACTTGGCCTACCTATGCACCTTTGATGTAGGGAACCTCCCCCTTTGGATCCAATGGTCATAATTTCCATTGGCTTTTTATGAACCTTTTGATGCCATCATCTGGTAAACTTAAATATCTGTTTGCTATAGATTTTACTCTTTTTGATTTTTTTGCCATGTTGTATGCTTATTTTGGCTTTGTTGATATCATTTTAGAATCATATGTTATATCTCCATGAGGAAGCGGGCTATTGTCCTGCGAAAAGCGTGAGAAATATGTAAAATCTTAGAGCAATTATGTCAACTACCGTATGTTTGTTTCTTATGTTATCCAGGGATATGCTTTGTAATGTCATGCAATAAGCCTGTTTTTAACAAGCTACACATGCTTTTTAATATGAGCTATGTGAATGCTCAAAATCTCCACCACAATATTGTTCAATAAAGCTGAAATCTTTTCTATTTTGTGTATTATATCTTCATTTTGGTGTGGTGCCTCTTAAAGCCCCATTAGCTTTTTCTAGTTAGGGTATGTTTTTCTTGTCTTGTAACTAAGCGGTGTGGCACCAGTAAAATAACAAGGGGTGAGACCCTTACTACAGGCCTCCCTCTCCCCCTTCTTCTATTAATGTTTTGAATTGTACAGGTTCTAGCTGGTGATCAGGACACTGATGCTGGCTAACACTGATACAGAACACTGTACAAATGCTAACTTGTTATTAGGAAACTGGTTGTGGCTGACATTGGTATTAGAACACTGTACTGGTGCTGACTGGTAATCAGGGCACTGCTTGGGACTAAGACTGGTATTAGAATACTGTACTGGTGCTGACTGTGGATCAGGACTCTAGGGGGTTTATTTACTAAAGCTGGAGAGTCCAAAATCAGACTCCCTTCTGCATAGAAACCAATCAGCTTCTAACCTCAGCTTGTTCAATGAAGCTTTGGCAACGAAACCTGGAAGCTGATTGGTTTCTATGCAGAAGGGAGTCTGATTTTGGACTCTCCAGCTTTAGTAAATAAACCCCTAGATGTCAGGACTGCTGTTACAAATCATGGGGCTCCGTACAGAGTACCTGACGTGATCATTATTAGTGGACACAAACACAACAACATGTCAGACAGTGTGCATTTGGGGGTATTCACCCGTACCTACACACCTGTCAAATTAGATCCTGCAGCTGTGTCTTTACAGTCACTGCATTCCCTTAGAGTAAAAGGCGGCTCTCCAGCAATATGAGCAATCCATGGCACACTTGTGCAAGGTTAAAGCAGGAGTTGAAGGGATGATATGCCTCCTCACCACCTGTCAAATGCTGAATGCTCTTCTATACAGACCTCCGATGTCTCACATTTGAGACAGAGAAAGGGACTGAGGACATAGAGTCATCATTCCCTTTCTCTGCAGCCTCAGCTGCCCAGGTGAATGAATAGGATGCACTTTGAGGCTTCCTGTTCATTCACAAACTGAAGCATAGTAAACACAATTTACTATGTTTCATTGATGATCATTTATGGAAAAGGAAGGGTGTTAATTCAGGAAAGGAAGGGTCTAGTAAATATAACATGTTTACCACCCCTGCTCTTCATCCTGAAACATTTCCCTGTGTGCCCTCAGCAGCTGCTGCTGGGAGAGGAGAGAAGCAAGGCCAGAGGGAAAGGAAGAAAAGCTAGCAGTGCTGCACAAGAGGCTAAACATCAACAATAAGGCAGAACAAGCCAGCCTTTCTGCTCAGCAGGTGCCAGGGACCCCCTTTTAAACTGACTAGGCCTGGGCCCAGTACAGGAGGGCTGACTGTACTGCCTTATCAGCAGCCCTGGCAGAACAATTACTGTAAGTGCCTTTTTTGTGCTGCGGTCCTAACAAATGCAATATATTCTGATATGTACCAGTACATTTGGGATCCTAGGACAATGGTAACCTCCAGTAGTGTTCCACAAATACAACATTGTTTTCTATATTTGTATCCATTGTATGTGTTGTAATTGAAAATATATTTTTATAGTATAGCAGATAAAAGAGATAATTATTTCCCAAAGACATGCATAAAGAAAAATGACAATATGAATCCAACATAAATATATTGTAAATAAATATATATTTTAGTTTCAATATACACTCCATTGCTTCTGTTGATTGTATGATATGCCATAAGTGGTGTCCAGATGGAGAACAATGTGGCAACTAATGCACATAATTATTTCTGTTCCCAAAATGTAGTTTTTTTTTACCATCCAGAAGTTTTTACACACCCCACAGTTCTTCTGATATGCATTTATGACCACTGAGCATGTTATTGTTCAAGTACTGTAGTTCACATTAGCTGCAATTCAAATGCATCTGAATAACTCTTTTGCTAGAATGGACAATATCCTTGACAATTCTTTTTTTCAAATGAACTAAATTAAAATTAATGTTTTTTTTTCTTTCACATCACTTCACTTTGTCAAACTTATATTCTTAGCAAACTCAACCATCCAACTCATCTTTCCTACTCATCTAGTATAAATTGCAACTTCGAGTCACACATTTC